TGACATTTTGACATTTTTACTAATATTTATAAAGTATGGAGGTTTTTACTAATTAAGTTAGACTTTTTGACTAGTTTACTAGTTTTTCCTTTTTTTTACACTAAAAGCTTAGCAACACAAACCCAATAATTTTCCATCATAATTTTGAATTAATTTCATAAATTCACAAAACCCATTTGTTATTCTTCAAGCTTCTTCATAAAGTTTTTCAACTTTTCAATATAGTTCATTACTCTTCAAGATTTCAAAATTATCTAAACTTCAATCTTTCACAAACAAAATTCGAAAATCCAAATTTTAAAAGTGTGTAAATCGATCAAGATTCATAGAGAAGAAATTTGAATTTCAAAATTAAAGAAACTAAAATGGTTGAGATAAGAGATTTGGTTGGGTGGGGTGAGGAGTGGGGGCGGGTATTAAGAAGAAGAAGGGGGTGGGGTAGGGTGGGCTGGTGGGTGGTTTCAAGGAAGAAGGAGAGGGTGGGGGTGGAGGGCTGAAGGAAGAAGAAAGTTGTGGGCGAGGGAGTGGGGTGGGATAGAGGGCTGATGAGTTGATTTTTTTTTTCATTTAAATTTTTTTTTTTAATGATTTTTAATATAAAAAATATATATGCACTCGCTTTAAGGCGCGTGCAGTCAAGTATTTTTCTAACTCAGCAATATTAGTGCCACATAAGTTCGGTCAATGGTTAAATGTGTTTAAAATATTGTGTTTTAGTAAATTTAAAGGTTCAATTGGTAAAATCGTAAATATAAGGATTCAACTGACAAATGAAGTCAAATATAAGAGTTTCCCATGTCATTCCACCTTATAATTATTACGAAAGTTCTTGAAGGAAAAAAAAAGTATGTGCTACTGATACTTTTGTTGTTGTACATATTAGCTAAAAACTTTGTTTTTTCTCATTTCAATAAAAGTCATTTACTACGTTAAGGTGTTACTTTTCAACCACTTAAAGATGTGTCAATATTTTATCGTTGCCAAAATCATTCATCTCACTTTATTAATACTCCCTCCGGCCCTTTTTAGTTGTCCACTTTAGAAATGGCACACAGATTAAGGCAACAATGATTAGCACAATGAAGTTACAATTTTACCCTTATGACAACTTTTTCACTTTCAAAATTACAACCACTTATTTGAATTCAAGTGAAATAAATTGGAGGGAAACAACATACACTTTTACAATTTTCAAAAAGTGTAAATAAGGGTATAATAGGAAAAAATTTGTTGTCCTTTCTTGATTTGTCAAAATGGACAACTAAATAGGGACAACCAAAAAGGAAATATGGACAAGTAAATAGGGACGGAGGGAGTATATATAAAAAAAGCTTTTCACATTTGACTTGATCGTTAGTCAACGTACATTAATTTTATATATGGGGAACTTTCACAAATAGCCACTAAAATAATTTTAATTATGTTTCATATAATAGTTTGCTAATTACGATTCGTAGCTACATGTTAGAGAAGGAGAGAGGCGATCGAAATTGGTAGAGGAAGGATAGAGGCGAGCGAGAGGTGGTAGAGAGTGGAGAGACACGAGTTGTATGTGTATATCAGTTAGATAATTATATATATGTAACTAATATGTATATGTATTAATGATTGTATTTGTATAACTACATACAATTTGTCCCATATACAATTGAATCGAGTTCAAACATTTGTATTTGAATATTCAGTCTCTCTCGCTTTATACAAACACAAATTATACATTTGTATTTATATATATATATATATATAGAGAGAGAGAGAGAGAGAGAAAATAGAATTGGACAGGAAAATATTTGTATTTGTATAATTATAAGGGGTCGTTTGGTAGAGTGTATAAGAATAATGCTGAATATGATGTATTAGTAATGCAAGCATTAGTAATGCTTGCATTAGTTATGCTTGCATTATTTCTTATACATTGTTTGGTTTGATGTATTGGAAATAGCAAGCCTTGTATAAAGACTATTAAAAAATATTTGTTTACAAAAATACCCCCACATTATTATTATTAATAATAATAATAATAATAATAATAATAATAATAATAATAATAATAGTTATTCTTATTATAATAATAATAATAATAATAATAATAATAATCATAATAATAAAAATTATTATAATCATAATAATAATTATTATTATTATTATAATAATTATAATAATAATTATAATTATAATAATAATTATTATTATAATAATAATAATGTGAGGGCGGAGATATATATATTTGTATTTGTATATCTCGTCCCCCTCGCTATATACAAACACAAATTATACATTGTGCTTGTATAAAGTGAGAGAGAGACTAGCAGAAGAGAATCGAGAGAGAGTGAGCAGGGAGAAGAGAGAGACGAGGGAGAGATGACTGAAAAAGAGGAGAGATATAAGTGAGATTCCAAAGAGAAGTGATAAAAGAGAGAGAGGGGTGTAATTATAGCTAGAAGTAAATTCCGAATTGTAATTAATGCAAACTGTAGCTATGTTAGCTAATTAACTAGTATGTATTTACTTAACAACGTAATTTTGCATATATAGGGGAACTTTCACAAATAGCCACTAAAACAATTTTTATTATTCTCTATAGCTATAGTTTGCTAATTACGATTCGTAGCTACATGTAAGAGGGAGGAGAGAGATGATCGAGATTGGGAGAAGCAGGAGAGAGGCGAGCGAGAGGGGGGCAGAGAGTGGAGAGAGGAGAGTTGTATGTGTATATCGGTTAGATAATTGTATACATGTAACTAGTATGTATATGTATCAATAATTGTATTTGTATATCTGCATATAATTTGTATCCGTATACAATTGAATCGAGTTCAAACATTTGTATTTGAATATTAAGTGTCTTTCTCGTTTTACACAACACACAAATTATACATTTGTATTTGTATATTATTTGTTTGTATAAAGCAAGGGAGAGACAAAAGAGAACTGAGCATGAAAATATTCGTATTAATATAATTATAAGTGTATATAGGGCGGAGATATATATATATTTGTATTTGTATATCTCATCTCACTCACTATATACAAACACAAATTATACTTTGTGCTTGTATAAAGTGAGAGAGACTAGCAGAAGAGAACTAAGAGAGAGATTGAGCAGGGAGAGGAGAGAGACGAGAGAGAGATGACTGAAAAAGATGAGAGATATAAGTGAGATTCCAGAGAGAGAGAGAGAGGGGAGTGTAATTATAGCTAGAAGTAAATTCTGAATTGTAATTAATGCAAACTGTAGCTATGTTATCTAATTAACTAGTATATATTTACTTAACAACGTAATTTTCCATATATAGGGGAACTTTCACAAATAGCCACTAAAACAATTTTAATTATTCTCTATAGCTATAGTTTGCTAATTACGATTCGTAGATACATGTTAGAGGAAGGAGAGAGGTGATCGAGATTGGGAGATGGAGGAGAGAGGCAATCGAGATTGGGAGAGAGAGGAGAGATGTGAGCGAGAGAGTGGAGAGAGGCTAGTTGTATATGTATATCGGTTAGATAATTGTATATTTGTAACTAGTATGTATATGTATCAATGATTGTATTTGTATATCTGCATACAATTTGTATTCGTATACAATTGAATTGAGTTCAAACATTTGTATTTGAATATTCAGTCTCTCTCTAGTTTTATACAACACACAAATTAATACATTTGTATTTATATATAATGTGTTTGTATAAAGTGAGAGAGAGAGAGCGGCAAAAGAGAACTGAGCATGCAAATATTCGTATTTGTATAATTATAAGTGTATAAGGCGGATATATATGTATTTGTATATCTCGTCTCCTTCACTATATACAAACACAAATTATACATTGTGTTTGTATAAAATGAGAGAGACTAGCAGAAGAGAATCGAGAGAGGGATTGAGCAGGGAGAGGAGAGATGACTGAAAAATAAGAGAGATACAAGTGAGATTCCAGAGAGATGAGATAAAAGAGAGAGAGAGAGAGAGAGAGAGAGAGAGGAGTGTGATTATAACTAGAAGTAAATTTAGAATTGCAATTAATGCAAACTGTAGCTATGTTAGCTAATTAACTAGTATATATTTGCTTAACCGCATAATTTTTCATATATAGGGAAACTTTCACAAATAGCCACTAAAACAATTTTAATTATGCTTTATAACTATAATTTGCTAATTATGATTCGTAGCTACATGTTAGAGGAAGGAGAGAGGCGATCGAGATTGGGAGACGAAGGAGAGAGGCGAGCGAGAGAGGGGCAAAGAGTGGAGAGAGGCGAGTTGTATATGTATATCAGTTAGATAATTGTATATATGTAACAAGTATTTATATGTATCAATGATTGTATTTGTATATTTGCATACAATTTGTACATGTATACAATTGAATCGAGTTCAAACATTTGTATTTGGATATTCTGTCTCTCTCTCTCGTTTTATACAACACACAAACTATACATTTGTATTTGTATATTCTGTGTTTATATAAAGCGAGAAATAGAGAGGCAAATGAGAACTGAGCAGGCAAATATTCATATTTGTATAATTATAAGTGTATAGGGCAGAGAGATGTATTTGTATATCTCGTCTCCCTCACTATATACAAACACAAATTATACATTGTGTTTGTATAAAGTGAGAGAGAGACTAGAAGAAGAGAATCGAGAGAGAGATTGAGCAGGGAGAGGAGAGAGACAAGGGAGAGATGACTTAAAAAGAGGAGAGATACAAGTGAGATTCCAGAGAGAGGGGATAAAAGAGAGAGAGAGAGGGGGAGTATAATTATAGCTAGAAGTAAATTCCGAATTGCAATTAATGCAAACTGTAGCTATGTTAGCTAATTAACTAGTATATATTTGCTTAACCGTGTAATTTTTCATATATATATATATATACATATACCGTTTATTATTTGGTGGTCGGTTATACAATGTAAATTACCAAAGAAGCCCACCCATTTAACTAGACCCAAAACTAAACACCCGACCCGTTAGTTTTTACTTTCTTTTTGAAAAGGGCGCCCAACAAAACTCATACAAAGAGCTTTTCCAATGAGCATTTGATCCTATAATTTTTCTCTTTACACTCATTTTCTGGAGAATTTTTTCAGCTAAAGAATTCTGGGTTTTGTTCGAATTTACTGTTAAAATGGATCTTCGTCCCAGAAAACGACAACTACAGTCTATTACTGGCTTCACACAAGCTGAGGTACCTTTCAATTTCTTTTATTGGTTTTCAATTTTGTATAATGAAATCATGTTTTCAAAGTTTGGTCTTTGAAGGGTTGTTGAAAAATTGGATTAAGATGATGTGTATATTTGTATGTGGAATGTGAATTAAGTTAATATATTTGATCTCTATTTTTTTTTAATTGTTTTCAAGTTTTGGCCTTTAGATAGGAAGGGAGGGTGTGAAGGATACGGATTAGGATATAAGGTTAGTAGGTAGAAATATGTTGCCTTGTTGTCTCTCCATATTAGTAGTTGTAATATTGCTCGTGTAGTTTCTTGTCCTTTGATTTTTGTTACTATATGTTGATTCCTTGTACCTTGATTATCGTATTGTTTTGTTGTATTTTCTGTTTTGTTACTATTTGCTGTTTTTTATTATTATTTGTTGTTTCTTGTACTTCTGTTACTAGACTGTTTAGGACTGTTTTTTCTTGAGCTGATGGTCTGTTGAAAACAACTTCTCTACCTTTGAGGTAGTGGTATGCGTACACTCTACCCTTCCTATACCCGACTTTGTGGATTACACTAGGTATGGTGTTGTTGTAAGTTTTGTCCCTTTGGGGTCTTTGGAATTTGCTTTAAGATGGTAGATATTTGTATGTGGAATGTGAATTAAGTTGATATATTTCTTACCTATTTGATTTCTATTTTGAATTTCTAAATATTGTTTTTAAGTTTTGACCTTTTGGTGTCTTTGAAATTTGCTTTAAGATGGAGGATATTTGCTAAGTTGCTTGGACTCGGGTGCGGGTGTCTAATATCGGTGCGAATCTAGAGGTCGGATCCTCTATGATTTAAATTTTGAGATTCGGGGATACGGATCCATATATGGATACGGGTGCGGGCATTCGACTTAAAATAATTCAAATATCTATAAATAGAGTTATAAAACCTAAATAATGAGATATTATGTGGAAAACTTGAGGAGAAAATATTGATCAAGAGTAGAACCCTAGAAGGAGATAAAAGGAGAGGGAGTGACAATAGAAATTTATATATACAAGGTATCTCATTTCTTCAATTTCACCTTAGTTTTTGTTATTATTAAAGAAATCATTGAATCTGTCTAGAATTTCTTCCTCGAATTTGGTCAAAGTACCCAAAACCAATTGACCAGATCGAGTACAGATCCCACACCCACGTCGTGTTGACACGGGTGCGGCACCGAAAGGCGAAAATGAAGAGTCCGAGCAACTTAGGATATTTGTATGTGGAATATGCATTAAGTTGATGTATTTATTAATTGTTCTTTTTTAAAAGATTTTTTTTCTAATGTTTACAAGTTTTGGCCTTAGGGGTTGTTGGAAATTGCATCAACATGATACATGTACTTGCAATAAAATGAGATATGCATTATCACTCTGGCTGTGTGCAAAGAATAGTTGGGTCTGCAGTAGGTTAAGGTTCAGAGTATTAATATAGGTGACTCCTACTTGTTTGGAATTGAGGTGTAGTTGATTGATTGATTTTTTTTTGAAATATGCATTATGAACCCTTCCTACCAAGAGCTTAAATTTGTGCTTATTATAATCGGTCCCCCCCACCCCAAATACCCTTAGCTGCATTGCATCTAGTTACAGAGTGAATTCTGTTGTCAGTGTGCCCTTTCATTGTCCACATGGACCAGACTCATATGGTAGGCAGTAGTGGGATTTTTTTCTGCTACGTCGAAAGCTTGACGAGCTCATTGGGTCAAATATCGTTGAATTTTTCCATTGCATCACATTGCATAAAAGCTTAAGTTGTTATAGAGAGGATTTATTTATTTAACAAAAGAGGATCTACTTTGACGCTCAAATAGTTATATTCATGAGAGATAATAACTATAGCATACACAAGAAGGCTATCTTTGGTTCAACTGGTCAAGTGAGCTAGTTGAGTCTGAGTTGAACAGGTCAATACAAGCCGAGTTGATGAACGTTTGATGATTAGTCAGTCTAAAATTCAATTGGGTTGAGATGAATTATCTATTATTAACTCAACTTGATTAACTTAATCTTGAACAAAAGAAACTGGTTGCACTTTATAACAAACTTAATACCCTAGAGTGCCAAATAGCTGGTCTAAGCCTTTTGTGCTTATCAAAAAGAGTTGAATCAATAAAATGTGATGATTCAGTTCGTTCAAAATTATATTCAAATCAGATATTCATATATTGCATTGATTGACGAGACGCGTCGTGGAGTTAGTGATAGGTTATAAGTTTGGAGATAGTCCCTAGAGTCTAAAGGTTTTAAGTTAAGTAGGACTAAAACAGAGTACCTAAAGTGCAAGTTCAGTGATGTAACACGTGAGGCGTAAGTGAGAATGAAGATTGATGCACAAGTCATACCCAAGAGAGAAAATTTCAAGTATCTTGCGTCCATAATCCAAGGAGATGGAGAGATTGAAGATGATGTCGCACATCGTATTGGAGTGGGGTGGGTGAAATGGAGGTTTGCCTCTGAGGTACTGTGCGATAAGAACGTGTTGCCAAGGGTTAAAAGTAAGTTCTACAGAATGGTGATTAGATCAACATTGTAGTATGAGTTAGAGTGCTGGTGAGTCAAAAACGCCCACGCATAGAAGATGAAGGTAGTAGAGATGAGGATGCTTAGATGGATTTGTGGACATATTAGGAGAAATATGATAAGGATTGAAGTTATACGAGGCAAGGTGGGAGTGACTTCCGTGGTAGACAAGATAAGGGAAGCAAGACTGAGATTGTTTAGGCATGTGAAAACTAAGATTATTTTCAAATTTCGGAATTTGGGGTATTCAAAAATTGCATAATATGATCTATGTATATGTTGTAAATATGAGATATGCATTGTCACTCTACCTGTGTGGAAAGAATGGTTGGGGTTGCAGTAGGTTAAGGTTCAGTATAATAATAGTCAAACTATGATGAATGTTCTGTGGATGCTGAGAATTTATATTGGTGACTGATTTGTTTCCAAGTTAGGTGTAATTGATTGATTTATCTTGGAATTGTCATTACGAACCCTTCCTACCAAGAGCTTAAATTTGTGCTTATTGAGATTGGTTTTCTCTTTTTCCCCAATACCCTTAGCTGGATTATATTTAGTTACAGAGTTGGAATTTGTTGTCGTTGTGCTCTTTCATTGTCCACAGTGGATCTGAGACATGGCCGAAACTCACATGGGAGGCAGTAGTGGGGTTTTTTTTCCTCAATGGGCAAAAGCCTGATGAGCTCATTGGGTTAAATATTGTTCAATTTTGTGAATCGCATCACATAAAAGCGTAAATTGTTAGACGGGAAATTTATTATTTCATTATTCATTTTTTTTGCTCAAGTTTGTGAAACGCACCTTACACATGTTATTGATTCTCTTTATCTTTCTCCTAACCCAAGGATGGAGATATATCTTGTTGATATGTGACCGTTAGACTTAAACTTAGAACCACTATATGTTCTGAATCATCTTAAATCATATAAACCACGTAATATAAAAGTTTAAGCGGTTACAAAGGGTCTGCAACAATGCAGAAAGGATGAAAAGTTGAAAACAATTGGATGACAGTTATTGCAAAAGGTTAGCATGTCTCAACTCTTGGAATTGGTCAAACTAGTGGGTTTGGTTTAGTTTGCATTCTATATATCAGAGCTAGAGTGACTAGTGAATAAGGTTCTTGCTTTGAATGGAGCTCAGTCCCTCTTATCCCAGTCCGAGTATTTGAATGACATAGTAATACTGGCTGTTAACATACTATTGAAGCTATATCCTATGAAATTATATCTTTTCTGCATAATTTTGTAGAAATGGTAGTCTTAGTGTTTTATTTTAAAAGATCTTTGTCATGTTTCATTGTGATTGTGCATTCCATCACCACTGCCAGCCCTATCGTTTTTCCCTCGCCATGATTGAGCTGTGGAGATCACACCTGCTTGCTTCTCTTAGTATGCGGATGTAGGAGTAATTCATCCTTTCTAGTTTCTAGCATTGAATAATTCTCGAGTTGCTTCTTTTGGGAACTCATGCATTAGCTCATAGTTGTCTTGGTTTGGGTGGTCTTTGTGCAATTGTCTGGCAAACCCTGCTTGCTGGACACTGAGTATTGGTATCTTGATTCATGATATTGCAAGGGTGGTGGAATTCCAAAAAGAAAAGAGAAAAATGCTCTACATCAAAATGATGAAGAAAGGTAGAAAAGAGCTTCTTGAACTATACTGGGATTATTCTCAGATTCAGAAACTCTGGCTCTTACAAAATAGTTATTTCGTTTGTATCTTATTTTGTTGATCTGTGAGACTGGCTAGAATTTTCTCTTTGAGGAAAGATGTGTTTGAGTTTTTTGCACATTCCCAATTTGCTACATTTTAGTTGAAGTTCGCATTACATAATGAAGTCAATCCACAAACAAATGTATTGGAATTGTCAACTCTAGTTTCAATTATTTTCTTGTGACTTGCAATTTTTCATCGCCTTCACAACTCTTTCATTCAAGCAGGTTGAGAAAATGGAGAACTTACTAATTGAATCAAGAGAACAAGTTTGTGACTCAGAAGTCTGCAAGAAATTGGCAAAGACGTTCACGTGAGTTTGTACTTTGGACAAAGTAACAATTCTTTTTAATATAAACCAAACCGATCTGTACATGCATGATCTTTAATTCATTGTCTTGTGTTTCTAGGCGCTCTAAAGGACGTGCTGGGAAACCAATTGCTAAGTGGACTGAGGTCAGTGCTTCAACAACCTTCCTCTAGGACCTGACCTTCTAGCTTGAAGTTTCACTTGACATGAACTATTGTACTTGATTAGGTCCAAGCTTGGTTCCACAATAGGTTGGCATGCTATCCGTCAAAGGATAATTCAGCTGAGGCCAACCAAAAACTGCCTGATTATACAGAAGGATGCACTTTGAATAAAGCAAATGAAAGCTCTCATATTCCAAAAGGTCTTTTGCAACATATCTTCTCTATGTTCTTGACATCTGAATGGTTATATGAGACTGATGTGGCTGATTACAGCATTAATCTGTTACTTCATTACTGGCCCATTAACAGTGAAAGTTAAAAAAGTACTAATGTTTAAATTCGAGAAGATTGGCTGCTGACCTGACTACAACAGCTGCTTTCTCTGGAGAAATTTATTTTTGATCAAGTAAGCGTAATTCATTCATAAACATGGCCAAACTGGCCGTATACAAGTGGTATACCACAAGGTGAAAAAATTACAAAAGGACACGATTCTCTACAAACTCCGCCCAATCATCTATACCACAAGGAACTTTTTGGGCACACCAAAAGAAAATAAGGAACCGGGGACTACTTCTCAACCAAAAGAAACTTGGCTCTACTCCTTCAAAGCTCTCCTATCTCTCTCCAAACAATCCACATTAATCCAAGTGGAACATAATTCCAGACCCTCCATCTTCTCCTCCTTCTCCCACTCTTCCAACTAAGCATCAGATCTCTCACAGTTCTTGGTATCACCCACAGATGCCAATCCACCTAAACATATCCCACCATAACCTTATGGTTAGCCCGTCGCTCACCTCCTTACACATGTAGCACCAACATGCACGAAAAACCTTTCGCTTTCTAAAGTTCTACGCTGTCAAAATCACCCTTATAGCAGCTCGCCAACTGAAAAGGTACACCTTCCTCGGCAGTCGGCACCTTAGGGATCCATATTGCATTACATGGAAAAACATGTCCCTCCCTAACCAAAAGTTTTTCATAATATGAATTTTCGCTGTGAACACTCCGTTAATCTCTGAGTCCCACCACCAAGCATCAGGATTATCCACCAGATTGGTTTGTCTATGTAGTAAGGCTAACAATCTTTGAAAATTAGTCACTTCCCAATCGATAAATAACCTTTCTAAACCTTCAAGTCCCAAAAAGTTTCTCCACCATGATTCCCCCTAATATGTTGAATCGTCAAGTCTTTTTGGCCAGATATTCTGCACTACCTCTAAAAGTCATCTTTCAAAAGTGTGTCCCTGTACCACCCATGTCCCCAAAAATTAACTCTCCTTCTGTCTCCAACCTTGAATGAGATATTTTCCAAAAAACAATCCTATCCCTTCAAGATATTCTTCCACACACCACCACCGTAAGGCAAAGTGATATCTCTAGTTCTCCACCCCCTTCCAAGATCCCTTATTTATCAACAATCACCCCCCTCCACAAAGCTTGTACCTCCCCCCAAACCTCCAAAGTCATTTGCCCATTAAAAGCTCTATTAAAGACCTTTAAATCTTTAATTCCAAGACCTCCCCATTTTTTAGGAGATGTGACAATCTTCCACCGCACCAAGTGAAATTTCTTTGATCTATCCACCACATCCCATAGGGAATTACTCTAATCTTTTCCAACTTCTTAGTAACAAAAGTTGGAGCATGAAACAAGGACATATAATACGGGGGGAATGCTTGATAATGTGCTCTTAATAAGCACTTCCTTCCTGCTTTTGGACAAATATCTTTTGTGCCACCTTGCTAGTCTCTTTTCAACCCTCTGAACAACCGGGTTCCACACCGTATGATCCTTATTCGCTGCACCTAACGGTACTTCAAGATAGGTAGTTGGGAGAGCCCCAATCCTACAATTTAAAACTTGAGCAAGCAATCCGATGTCATCCACCTCCCAACAGAAGTCATCTAACACTTCCTCAAATTAATTTTAAAGGCCTGACACCACCTGAAACCTAGAAAGGACTTGACCTAAATAGTCCAGGGGTCTCAACTGCATCACAAAAAAGCAAGTTATCATCCACAAACAACAAATGAGACACCAATATTGTCCCTGCACCCCAAGTGTTGGCATCAAAGCCCTTCAAGTAGCTCCCCACATCCTGCTCAAAGCTTCCATAACTAGAATAAACAACACCGGTGATAGAGGATCCTCTTGTCTCAAACCCCTCGAACTCCCAAAAAATTCACACGGGCTAACATTCACCACCACAGAAAATCTCACCGAAGAAATGCAAAAATAAATACATTTTCTCCACCTCTCCCCAAATCTCATTTGAAGCAGAATATAGAAATTAAACATTAGCACCTTTAGATGAGAGCCTTGGAGCAACGTATAGTTGTCCGTGTGACGATGTGATCTATGGGTCACAGACTCAAGCCGTGAAATTACGAAGGGATGCTTCCCTTTCCTAGACCCTACATGAAAGCGGGATTCTTTGTGCACCGGGCTACCCTTAGCACCTCTTGATGCCTTTGTGGAATATTCACTATTTCAAAAAGAAAAAGTTATTGTCTTAGTGTCTATAAATTTGCTGGGGAGATAAGATTATATTACTAATCCTTGGCTCCCATTGAGGAATTAATTGTTGAATAGTCCCACATCACTAGGATGTGGTATATTTGGTTTTGGCAATCCTCACCTCATGAGCTAGCGTTTAAGGTTGAGTTAGATCCGTAGTTCATTCTTGTCATTGTACTAGTGCGAGACTCATCTCTTGGTTTACCCAATGTTGGCCCCCGTACTATGTTGTCCACGCACTAGTTGGCAGGCATACTCAAGAAAGGGTTTTGAGTTGTCCCACATCGGTGGGATGTGATAGTCTGGTCTCCTTATATAGTCTTGGGATGTGGTATTTTGGCTCATTATAAACAGTTTTGAGAAATCTTCACCTCATGAGCTAGCTTCTTGGGTTGAGTTAGGCCCAATGTTCATTTCGTACAAGTTAAATTGGTTTCCAGGTATTCAAAAGGTCAGTTATGTTTAAGTGTTAAGTGAGAAAACGTCCGTCACAGCAATGCATTTGTTTGACATCATGCAGTTATCCTGCACTATTTATTGAATTAAACTATTCATTACTACTTAATGTTGTGCAAACTGCATTCAGCAATGTTATGTCCCCCGAGAGTGTCTATTGGTGGCTACTAGTCCACTGATTTGCCTATCATTAAATTCTCAACAATACATTATCCTCAAGGAATTTATCTCCAAGTTCATATCTTCTCTAAATTTGAAAATAATATCCGAAACACATAGGACGACTCCAATAATTTAAGTTTACAGAGAAATTTTTCATCTGACTGTTGTTGGGCCAACTGAAAGCTTAATATCCACTTAAAGTTACATCCAACTGACATAGAATGAGATGCAGAGATAGAGAAATCATGTTGAGGTTATCTGGTACTTCATGGAGAAAGTAAGTAGTCGTTGAGATATGAAATCGCCTAGCCCTTTCTTTTTCTTAATTCTATTTTCTACTGTAGATAGTTGCAACTATCTTCATGCTGAATAGTTGCTTCTCCTTCCTCTAAAGTTAAGAATTGCATTTCTTTTTGGTATCAGAAATGTACAAATATAGTCCTGACAAACTTTTCGCAGGCCAGAAAGATCCAGCGCTGTCAGACTTGGAATTTGAGGCTAGGTCTTCAAAAGATGGGGCATGGTAAGATTTCATTAGCAAGCAAGAAGGTTTTGGTCTTTCAGTCAATTTTATTTTTTAACAGACTCAAATTATTTACTGGCTACACTACAAATTTCAGCATTTTCTTCTAGATGCATAAATCAGATTTATCAGCATTTTGCGTTAGATATGTTGTCAGCTGTATTGGTGTTAACTTTGAGATGCATATTCTTGTGATCTTGTTTATATTTTCCTGTCGTTGAACCACTACTTTTGATGCATTTAAACTTATGTCAGTGCTTCTATTTGTTTGTGAAGCCCATAGCTCAAGAGGTTCCATAAAATGACGTTAGTTGCTTGAATATGACATCTGTGTCATCAACATTATCTTATTTTTCTATCTTTTCTTTTCGGAAAGTTTTATCTGTTTTCTCTTTCGGTCCTTTCCATTTTGATGGATGATCAATGACTGCTGGTTGGAGAATGTCTTTATGTTAACTTGTTTTGAAATTTGAGCAATATTAGACCCCATCCGTGTAAAAATGGAGAACCAGAAAAACTCTCGACTTCTTCTGTGTGGTTAGTGAGTTCAAGTGTTCAATTGGTTCAATAAGTAACATTGTCCAAATATTTTCAATAAGTCTAAAAGGTTCATGTTGAGAAGGACTAAGACAAAGTATTTGAAGTGTAAGTTTAGTGATGTAATTCATGAGGCAGAGTGAGGATTGATACTCTAGTCTCCCCTAAGAGAGGAAGTTTCAAGTATCTCGAGTCAATAATCCAAGAAATTGGAAAGATCAATGACGATGTTATACATCGAATGGAGTGGGGTGGATGAAATGGAGGTCCGTATCCAGTATCTTGGGTGATAATAATGTGCCACCAAGACTTAAAGGTATGTTTATAGAGTGGTTGTTAGACCATCTATGTTCGAATGTTGTGGAATGTTGGCCGGTCAAGAACTCGCACGTACAAAAGATGAAAGTAATGGAAATGAGGATGTTGAGATAGATGTGTGGCATACTAGGAGAGATATGATTAGGAACAAAGATATTTGGGACAAGGTTGGAGTGGCCCCAATGGTGGACAAGATGAGGGAAGCGAGATTGAGATGGTTCGGACATGTGAAGAGAATAAGCACAAATGCTCTAGTGAGGAGGTGTGTGAGGTTAGCTATGGTGGGTTTGAGGAGAGGTAAAAGTAGACCGAAGAAGTATTGGGTAGAGGTGATTAGACATGACATGATATATGTTATGGTCTCTTGTAATGAATCTAGTCATGGGACACTGCAAGACAAATCAGAGTTAATGTAGCGTGAACTAGGAGTCTGGAATGAGGTTTTCTTTTTCGACCTATGGTGATGGTTTGTTAAGAGAGAACCTGCAATCTCTTGAGTTAAAGTACTCAAGAATGGGATAATTTTTTGCTTAGATTTCCTGCAATAAACTGAGTTTTAAATACAGTACTTACAAGATAAATACCCCTAGAAACTAGGACATAACTTCCTAACGTTAGTAGAATGAGAAACTACAAACTAATACAAAGAAATAACTACTACTAGAATGAGAAACTACAAATAACTAGTAGAAAGAAATAAGTACTGCAAGTGACTACCTTCTCCTATGTGCTTCCTGAATGTTTGGAGCTGGTGAGAGGTCCTTAGAGCAATGACTAGATGCTTCTTCAATCATCTTTGCTTAGTTTAAACAAAAAAATCACAGCTTGTTTGTCAAGGAGGGTTGTTTTTTCCCCAAAATTGTATGACACTTCAATTTACATATTCCTCGTGGTGTTATGAAGTCAAAAGATTTGTACTTTCTGGCGACATGATTAATAGTGTTTTCTTCTGGATTTTACAGGTACGACATTGATACATTTATCGCTCACCGGTTTCTCAACTCTGAAGAACCTGTAAGCCATTGAACTTAGCCAATTATATTTATTTTAGAACTAACACCATATAACCCAACAAGACATTGTGGGATAGGCCAAACTGTTCGTAATAAATATTTAGCAAAGAGCTAAAGTAGCTCCTAATCATATTTCTCATATGAAATTCGTTATGTAAACATAACTAATACAATTGTACTTCTTCTAAGAAAATGTAATGTATTGCAGGAGGCTCTTGTGAGATTTGTGGGCTTTGGGTTAGGGGAGGATGAATGGGTAAATGTAAGGAAGGCAGTCCGTGAGCGTTCCGTTGCTCTTGAGAATTCAGAATGTAACAAAGTACAGGTTGGAGATATTATTTTGTGCTTCCAGGTACTTCTTTATTCAAAATTCTTTTCACAATGTTATCGAAAATAAAAAGTTGAAATTTTTTGTTTCCAATTTATGATTGCCAAGAACAAAGGATTCTCTTTAGAGGATTGGTTGGGGTGTTGATAGATAGGTAGTACAAATAAGATCATAAAACAAGTACAAATGTATTTTCTCTCCTTATTGCCTCAGGCCCTGGCATATATTAGTTTATCACAGTTGTGCATAACTTCTTATTTTATGTTCTTTTCATTTTTGTCTCAACTAGGAGGGAAAGGACGAGGAAAAATATCTCGAAGCTCAAGTTATAGAAATCCAAAAGAAATTGCATGATATAAGGGGCTGCAGATGTCTCTTTGTGATTCGATACACTGGTGATGACACCGAGGTAGGTATTGGTTACATTAACGAGTTATCATTTTGTAGATGGACTAAATTTACCAGATTTCACTTCTTCTTGCTCAGGAAACAATTCGTTTGAGGCGAATGTGTGTTCGACCAAGCATATTAGGGCGTCCTTGATACAGTTTGAACTTTGAATATAGTAAGACGTCATCAGCATATGCTGCTCAAATGTTCAATCATAGAAATGTCTCCAATGAAGAGGAAACAAGTCAGATGATCGTATTATCTTACTCTATTGAGATAGCCGATCCAAACTTGTTTGGGACCAAGGCATAGTTGTTGTACTCTTATTTTATAGATGCAAAAGAAATTTGTGAATTGTTGCCCTGGCGTATAGACTGTTAAATAGGAGTATATTTAGTTTAGCTTTTACTTGCCAACTATGTCACTGATTGCCATAGTGGTGGAAACTATTGTTATGTCAACTTCCTTTAGACTTTATGGGTTAGAAATTGTTGTGTTAAAGAAAGGATTAAACTAGACTTTTTTATGGGAAAGCCCCAATTGCCAGCAAGTCAAGGTAGAACATTAGAAACCAGGAGGTATGACTCAAGAGATTGACATTCCTACTTGGAAGTGGGAAGTGATCAATATGGACTTCATCACAGGTTTACCTCGTACTCGCAGACAACATGACTCCATTTGGGTGATTGTTGATAGGGTTACTAAGTCTTCTCGCTTTTTGGCGGTCAAGACTACAGATTCGGCGGAGGATTACGCCAAGCTTTACATTAATGAGATTGTGAGGTTGCATGGGGTTCCTTTGTCTATCATCTCAGATAGAGGTCCTCAGTTTACCTCTCATTTCTGGAAGTCATTTCAGAAGGGTCTTGGTACTCAGGTTAATCTTAGCACAGCATTTCATCCCCAAACGGATGGTCAGGCAGAGCGTACCATTCAGACCTTAGAGGACATGTTGAGAGCTTGTGTGATCGACTTCAAGGGTAGTTGGGATGATCACCTTCCTCTTATTGAGTTTGCCTACAACAATAGTTACCATTCCAGCATTCAGATGGCCCCTTATGAGGCATTGTATGGGCGTAGATGTAGATCTCCAGTTGGTTGGTTTGAAGTAGGTGAAGCAGTCTTGATAGGACCAGATTCGGTCCTTGATGCTATGGAAAAAGTGCAACTCATTAGAGATAGACTTAAGACTGCTCAGAGTCGCCAGAAGTCTTATGCAGATGTGAGAAGAAGGGAACTAGAGTTCCAAGTTGATGATTGGGTTTTCCTGAAAGTGTCACCTATGAAGGGCGTGATGAGATTTGGTAAGAAAGGAAAGCTCAGCCCATATGAGTTAGAGTTGCCAGCAGACTTAGCACCAGTGCATCCAGTCTTTCACATTTCTCTTTTGAAGAAGTGTGTGGGTGATCCAGCATCCATAGTGCCATTAAAGAGTGTGGCCCTGATTGGACTCATAGTCCAAACTATTTACCCGACTGCTTTCTTGTTATATTCATTGAACCACTGCTTTTTCATCCCTAATATCATTAGAATATATATATATACTCTAGCGGTATCTGATGGTATCAAGCAGTAATTGAACAGTCTTTTCACTAAAACATTGCTTGTTCCTGCTTGATGCCATCAGCATATTTTATTTTTTTTGGTAACTAAGTTGATTTCATTACCAAAGTAAACATTTGTATCAGTACACATAGAGAGCATTGCTGGACATCATGCCCCAACAACCTCCTAGCAACAAGACATTAAAACATAAACTAAACCAATCTAACAACTATCACTAGTATAAAGATTTTAAACTGGATAGAAGTTGTGGCTTTCCAACCAATTAGTGAGTTTGACAACTTTCCTTGCTTTAATGTGGACTTCTTGGATTACTTGCTTGATCAGCCATGTTGTGGTTTGTTTTTTGCTTTGAAATATTCTAAAACTCCTTTCTCTCCATAAAAAGTAGACAGTTGCTGCTAATATCATTCTATAAATCACTTCCTTTAGCATGTTGCACAGTCCATTGAAGTTCATCATTCCATAACATAGGTGTTCTCCTGATATCAACCCACAGTAACAGATTCTACCACACCTGGGCAGAGACTGTACAAGCAAAAAAAAAAGATGAGAAATGCTTTCATTTTCCACTTCACACAAAGGACAAGTCTGAGTTGTTTGTATCCCCCAGCTAAACAACCTATCCCTAGTACTTAGTCTGCCTAGAGCAACCAATCGTAGAATGAAAATCCATCTAGGTACGCCAATGTTGTTGCACACCAATTTCCTCCAACTGACCTTCTCAAATTGCCCCCTCAATTTCAAGTACAATTGCTTGGTATGTGGGAGATCACTTAATTCATATCCAGCAGCCACAAAATATTTTCCCGCTTTCAATATTTTTTGAATGACCCATGATGCATTTGGGATATCCTCATAGATGTTCCTTCCTCTTTGATACCATCAGAGTATATATAATTTGATAGTATCAAACAATAAATGTGCATTAGAAGTTAAAAACAGGAGATATGAAAGTAAAGGGCAGCCCTTGGTAAATAATTTCCTTTTTTTGAAGTAAGAGTGTTCTGTTCCCTTTTTTAAAAATTTCCATATGGACTTGTCCAAAAAAAAAGTCTAAATTACCAATATCATGGATGCATAATTTACAGAAATGACAATTAGGATATATTTTTATGTGATTTATTTTGTAGTGACTATTATCTGAATAAGTTGTTAAACATGTATAAAAAGTAGCAAGCAATCGACACACAAAGATGTATGGATGTATTTTTTTCCAGTCATAAATAGATGTTACCACTCCCCATATTTCAAAACTGAAGAAATGTTGTTCCAAAAATAAACTTACAAACATGTTTTTATTGCTACTCCTATTAAGGACAATATATCAATTTTCTCATGCCCGGTCCAGTTCCTTTGCATCTATTTAACAGATTAACAATCACTATAAATGCCACTATCATCAATTTTGGTAACTGCATAGTGGCCAAAAGGTTCCAATTTAATTCAAATATTTTTCACAATTGAGGTCATCTGTAGTTAAGCAGACATTTAGTTGTTGGTCAGTTCAAAGTTTCGATATGGGTATAATGCAGCACAGCGACTTGTTCAACACCAGAAAAGGCAAATAGACACCAAGCTTGGCTCCTGGAAGTACCATGTAGTACCAGGGTGATGCAAACCACACCTGCTCTCCATTGCGCAGGTGCTCATCAACAATGAAAGCTACTGAACTCAGATCGGGTAGAGAAAGAGGACAAAGCCTTTACATTGCTTGTTTTATTAGCGTAGGTGTTCAAAACTGCGAAGCTTCAGACTTGATTCACCGCTGGAAGATCTCACATCATTGATATAACTCACTTGTAAAGCCACAAGCAGGCAAAATCAACATCAACAGAAGATTTTGTAAGTTGAGGGCAACCTGCAGAAGGAATGAATACCTTGAGAAATGCCACACCACACTGTTACAGCAATTTTGCACAACCTGGTCTTAAAACCAAATGGGCAAGTACTCCTATAGTAGATGAGGAAAAAGTTATGCTAATAGGTTTCCAATATTTGTCCGACGTCTGGGGGCAAAGAGTGGAGTTCACTGCTGATAAAACACATCTTTGCAGAAACCAAAATTATTCATGTGAATGCAAGAATCAAAAGAAAGTACCTAACGATCATAACATGACTGCACATTACACAGCTTGCACGGAGGACTATAGTTAAGGAACTGCAAAAGAGGATTCCAAGAAGAAACAGCACAACTGGGAGGATCCTCTATGAGAAAATACAGTTGCTGTAACAGGCAGGGAGAGCAGTTTCTTTAGAGTTAAGAATGGGCTTAGCTAGAATTAATAGGAAGACTGTTATGGTTCATCCAATTTAGGACCCTACTCAAGTTTTGTCCAGATCTTACAATCATGCATAAACCACCGAGAAGAGGGTAAGGAGAATGAATTGATGACTTCCACCTGACCATAGGTCATCTTCTGTCTTCTCTAAGGATTCTGACCCATACTATTAGACGCCAATCCAAACAGGTAATCAAGAAATTTGACCTTGATTAAAGGCAAAATATTCCAAATTAACTTCTAGATTGTGCACAGGGTGATAAGAAACAATGAAATGACAAAAGTGATAAGCTATAGGAACTTACATCCCCAAGGAACCACCTTAGGAGTAACAAGCTCATTCTTCAGCCGGCAACTCCAATTATCCTGTAAAGAGATTACATACTTGATAAAACTGTGTCAAAAATATGCATCAGAGTTCACATGCGTAGTAAATCTGTGTCAGAGATATGTATCATCTAGAGTTTAAGAACAGAATAAGCAGATTAGTAACTTCCGCATCTAAAGTGGCTCAAACCTTGTATAATACTCAATACCTTGGGCTCAAAATCTGCAGTCATGTTGCAAGGATGTAACTTCTTTAGATTTATGAATGATTGCATATAGCTTTTTATAATGAGACCTCAAATACTAATTCAGGAATCAAAATATTTCATAGTTAAATTTTTTTAACATCAGTAGTAACAGCCCTTTTCCAGGGCTGTTGTTTCGAAAACAGCCATAATTAACTGGCCAGATGTATTCTGATAAAGAAAAAACATACTAACTAAAAATTCCAAGACTAAAACCAACTACAGCACCTATTTTGTGTGTACAAATGAGGGAGAGAGATATTTGTGCTGAAATTTCTCCTGTCCAATCACAAGAACTGCCGAAGTTGATCAATGAGTACACACAGCAGTAGAGACAATCAAAGACAATATTTCACAATTTAGGCAGGAAGCTTATCATTTAGATGCTGAACCAGCATAAAAGAATTGATTAGCATAAAGGCAGAGGACAAAAGTCCAAACCAGGAAAAAGGGCAAGAAGAAATAAAGAGAAGATTGATTGCCAATGTTTCAACTCCTTAGCAAAATCTTAACTTGCATGGTTCATAAAACTACAAAGAAAGCCTGTTTGGCTTAATCCCTAAAAAAGGGGATCTATTTGACCTATACAAACTTTGACCAATAGTAACCACCACCACCCCACCCCTAAAAAATTACACTCATGAACTGACTGACAAAAATACCATCCTGGACATCAGGAACAATCACATACACTAATGGCCAGGGTACTTTGCAAAAATCATCTTCAGAGGAAAAAGAAGACTCAGATTTGACAAGGATTAAATATTTCCATCCATTTCTCTCAATTAGACCAAAGATAGCAGGCACTTGTTCAAGCACTACAATAGAGAATCTCATGGCACCAATGAAGGTACTTGTAGGAACACTTTTTGTCTCAAGAAACAGTTCGCCCATAACAGACAGATGCAATGTAAAGATTCTTTGCCCATTTCTCCTGCAGACAGAAATATACACAGTTAGCTTAGAAAATAGTAGGCGCGCACACACACAGATGTGGTTTACAATAAAAAAAACTAGGCAATAACTGATGCAACACCAACCTTGACATGAGTGCTGG